CTAAAAGGCGGAGATTCTAAAACTCTAAGATTCTAGAACTCTAAAATTCTAAAAGTTTAAAGGTCTAAAATTCTAAGAGTCTAAAATTCTAAAATTCTGAGACTGTAAAATTCTAAGATTTTAAAATTCTAAAGATTGCTAAAATTCTAGAATTCTAAAATTCTAAAATTCTAAAATTCTAAAATTCTAAAATTCTAAAATTCTAAAATTCTAAAATTCTAAAATTCTAAGATTCTAAAATTCTAAGATTCTAAAATTCTAAAATTCTAAAATTCTAAAATTCTAAAATTCTAAAATTCTAAAAGTCTAGAATTCTAAAACTCTAAAATTCTAAAATTCTAAAATTCTAAAATTGTAAAATTCTAAAATTCTAAAATTCTAAAATTCTAAAATTCTAAAATTCTAAAATTCTAAAATTCTAAAATTCTAAAATTTTAAAATTCTAAAATTCTAAAATTCTAAAATTCTAAAATTCTAAAATTCTAAAACTCTAAAATTCTAAAATTTTAAAATTCTAAAATTCTAAAATTCTAAAATTCTAAAATTCTAAAATTCTAAAACTCTAAAATTCTAAAATTCTAAAATTCTAAAATTCTAAAATTCTAAAATTCTAAAATTCTAAAACTCTAAAATTCTAAAATTCTAAAAATTCTAAAATTCCAAAATCCTAAAATTCTAAAATTCTAAAATTCTAAAATTCTAAAATTCTAAAATTCTAAAATTCTAAAATTCTAAAATTCTAAAACTCTAAAATTCTAAAATTCTAAAAATTCTAAAATTCCAAAATCCTAAAATTCTAAAATTCTAAAATTCTAAAATTCTAAAATTCTAAAATTCTAAAATTCTAAAATTCTAAAATTCTAAAATTCTAAAATTTGAGTTTTCCAGTTCTTTCTAAAATTCAAAACCATTTATTTCAGAATGAATTAATGACAACACATTTGGAGGCGACTGGAAATATTTTCAGCTGGATTTCAGTCGGAATCATCGAGCGAACATTTAACGGACCAAAGTATATATTTTTTAAATTTCAAAAATTTTAAAATATTAGGTTGGCGGGAAAGTCTTTGTCACTCTGTTTGTTTAATCACTGTTCTCGTATATGGAGGCTGTGTATGATATCGACTCTAGTGAATAACAAGGTGATAAGAACCTTCCATATAAACAAGTCCCCATCTCCTTCCCTGCTCCTCATCTGTAATTGAAACGATATGTTTGTTCCCACTGCTATTCACATCAGACATGTTTTGATTTACCTCTTCCTATCTCACACCACGATGAAGGATTCGGAAACTTTCTTGAAGAATGTGTACAACACACATGCCCCTCACTACAATACTATTCGCAATTGGTTCCATCGTTTCGAAAAAGATGACTTCTCGCTCGATGAAAAGGATCGCTCTGGGAGACCCCGTGAGTTGGATTTGGACAAGCTGAAGCACGCATTGCAATCGGATCCATTTCAATCTAGCCGTGAACTAGCTGTCACATTCGGAGTTCACCATAGCACAGTCCTTGAAGGTTTGAAGTCTCTTGGAATGAGAAAACTTTTTGGTCGATTCATACCTCATCACCTGACTCAAGCCAACCTTGACCGCCGAGTCGACGATTCGATTACTCTTCTCACTCTCCACGCGGGCGATCGATGGCTGGACCGGCTAATAACCGGAGATGAGAAGTGGGTCTTCTACGATAATCACCACAGGAAATCCCAGTGGGTTGGAGAAGGAGAGAGCCCACAGGATGTCCCCAAACCCGACCTTCATCCGAAAAAAGTTATGCTCTCTGTGTGGTGGGGAGTGCACGGCCCCATCTACTGGGAACTTCTGCCCGAGGGCAAAACAATAACTGGAGACCTCTACACTACTCAACTACGAAACCTCAAGAAAGCAGTCGACCGTTCGGCCCTGAAAGACAAGAAAGTGTACTATCAACATGATAACGCTCGCCCACATGTTTCGAAACAAGTGAAGCAGGAGCTGATGGGATATGGATGGAATGTTCTCCCTCACCCCCCCCCCGTATTCTCCTGATCTTGCTCCTTCCGACTATTGGTTATTTGGCGATATGACACGTGCCTTCGAAGGAAGAAGCTTCAATTCCCGTGGAGCGGTCGAAGCGGCACTCAAACAATACTTTGCCTCACGCCCGGCTGGATTCTACCGCAATGGAATCCATAAATTGAGGGAACGTTGGAGACATGTTGTTGATAATGATGGACAATATAATTAATTATTCGGTTATTTTTTCTTTGAGAAATAAACTATTGAAAAAGTGACAAAGACTTTCCCGCCAACCTAATAAAAAAATCTGTTTCCAGCCAATGGTACCATATCAACCGAACCTTCATATCCACGGAAGCCGATCAATATTCATATGGAAAAAAATTTGGATGTGATTTCCTGCAAAAGTCCTGTCACGATTTTATAAAAATCACTGAAAAACGAAGCCCAACTCTGAAAATCGCACCGTTTTGTTCGAAAAATCATAATCATGTTGGTTGTTTTTTGGATAATTAGCCTTATTAAGTAGATAATTAGTTGTGATTAGGGTCTAATTGCTAATTGGAAATCAAAAATGATGGGATCAAAAATTTCAAGATTTGAAATTCCAAAAAAAAAATTCGATTAATCCTATTTTTTGAACTTTTTTAGCTTGAATTTTGCTCAATTTCGTTCATTAATTTTTCCTCAATTTTCTAAAAAAAACAACCCAAATTTTTTCTATTTTCAAAGAATTCAAATTTCCAGATGTGCTACAGAATTCCAAGTTCTGAAAAACTATACAAAATGAGTGATAAGGACTGTGAAATGAGACGAGTCATTGGTGACGGGGTGAGTGGGAGGAAAAGCACAAGTCAGAGAAAAATATGACAAATTATTTATCGAAAAAGCAATATTTTTTGGATTAATATACACATTTCAGATTGATAACGGAGGACAACAAAGACGGTGCCCGATGATAAAGCATTTTCCAGCGAAATTCGAATTTTTCAGTTGTCCACCACCGCCAGGAGGATAATTTTATATAATCTTTTTTCTTATATAACCTTTATAACCTTTTTTCCAAGTTTTTGAGTTTTATTGAAAATGAAGATTTGACTTTTTGATTTTCAGAACGCTAGGGATTCGAAATTTCGTTTCTGAATATTCAGACTATTCTATTTTTGTCATTCTATTTCATTCTATTATTGGCGCCTTTCAGGGATTCAGAAAATTTTATAAAATTTATGATACCGTAAAACCTCTAATAGAACGACACCCGGATCGTCCACTTTGAGTTTATATATCTCACTTCTTTTGAAAGATATCAAAAAGTGGTTAATTAGTAAAATGTTTATCAGGATATCAGCAACATTTTACTAGTTGGCCACTTTTTGATATCTTTCACAGAAATTGAGATATATAAGCTCAAAATGGACGATCCGGTTGTCGTTCTATTAGAGGTTTTACGGTAATCTTGAAAAATCTAAAGCTCCGCCTTTTTTTCATACTCTAGGGACTGTTATGTAAAACCGCATCTGGTGCCATTTAATAGCAATAAGGCTATAAAAATAGGTGATAACAAAATTCACACCCCATAATACCGTAATCCTATGGTCCACACGTCCTATCGGTATTATTTTATGGCCCACATGCCAATTAAAAATCAATTAATCATCTAAAGTGTGAATTATGTTATCACTTATTTTTTCACCTAATAACGTATCATATAAAGGTACGTAAAGTGTGAAAAAGGGGGTGTAGCATCGTTATTAAACTTCAGAAATTTTCTGAATTGTTAAAAATTCTGAAGCTCCTAATACTCATATTCTGAAAAACTGAAGTTTCTGGAATTTTTCTCTTTTTTTTTGAATGGAAAAAGTTTTAGTTTCTCAAAACATGTTTTCATGATTTCCGGAAACTTTTTTCCTCATTTTTTTTTGAATTTTTTAGGCCAAGGAAGTTCTTCATCCCAAGTTTACTTCTGATAAAAAAGTGACACATGTCTGAGATTTCTCTGTCTCTGCGTCCCCAACTGACCTCATCTCTCGTTTTTTTTTTGATTCGTTGTAATATCCAGTTGGTGCCAGGAGCCCCTGTTCTAGAGGAGATCACTTTTATCTTTATCTTTTTTGCTCCTTATCATTTTTATCATTTTTCAAATCATGAGATTTTTTGATTGAATTTTTCTGGAATTTTTCAGGAAAAAGTGTTTTCAGGTCTTTGAGACGATAGTTTTTTTTGACATGTTCGAGATTTCGAGACATTTCTAGAAGGCATATGTTCGTTTTAAATTTTTCTAATATTTTCAGACCCCTCAAACCATGAGGTTTTCTCTCTGGACCTCATTTTTTATATTTCTGGCATTCGCTAAAGTAATCCAAGCTGTTGAGAAAGCGGATCACGCAGATGAGGTGATCTTTTTTTCCGAAATTCAAATTTTCTCGCAATTTCGAATTTTCCAGGAAGTAATCACTGCTGAACAGGATATTCCGGTTCACAAGCCACGTGGATATAAGCTGAGGAAACTGGAAGAAGGAGATGAATTATTGTTGAGTCAAGTTGTAAGTATTTTAGAATATACCGAAAATGCAAAAACCAAAAATTTGCAAATTGCAAAATACGACTTTCAGGAATTTCTTTAAAATTTAGAAATACAGGTTTTCTGGAATTTCAGAAATGTATAAAATCTTAAAAAGCTGAAACTCCATTTTTCCAGGTATGGCGTCACGGAGATCGTGCTCCAACCGGCACTTATCCAACCGATCCACATAAGGAAGAAGCCTGGCCAAATGGATGGGGAGAGCTCACTCAGGTACAAACTTCTGTTTTTCAGAATGAAAATCAAATGCTGAAAATGGGATTTCCAAAAATTTCGGGTCCAGATTGGTCTGGGACGCGTTCAAAATTCTTTGATTGCTCAAAATATCCGGAAAGCCAAAATTATGAAAAAAATTAAATTTTTTCGGATTTTTTTGAATTTTCTGAATCTCAAAAAACTTGAATTTCAGCTTGGAATGCGTCAGCAATACGCTTTGGGACGTCTTCTTTTCAAAAAATATGTCAACTCCACTGGACCATCCCAGCTTTTGAGTGGTTCCTATAATTCCAAAGAGGTGGGTCAGATTTCAGAAATTTCATAAAATTTCTAAAAAAAGCCACCTTGCAAAAGTTAGGCCACCATGGTATGTGGCCCAGAAAGTTTATCAGGTAAATATCAGACTATTTCTAAGCCACGAAAGTTAATGGCCCAGAAAATTCAACTTCCAAATGTTAGGTCACTTTCAAAAAGGTCCCAAATTTTTCCCTTTTTTTTCAGGTCTACATTCGCTCAACAGATGTCAATCGAACTTTGGTATCAGCCCTGGCAAATTTGGCTGGAATGTTCGAAAATGGAAATCGTGGAGCTGATTATCCGGATGCCAAAAGATGGCCAACTAATTGGACACCTATTCCAATTCATACATTGGCTGAGAAAGATGACCCGGTAGGTTTTTTGAGCACTTATATCTTGATTACTGTAAGAGAAAAATATCAAAAAGGTTTTAACTGATAACATTTTTATCATGTTATCAGTATCATTTTATTAGTTGACAGTTTTTTGATATCTTGCATAGAAACCGAGATACGGTACCTAACAGAAACTATGTCATATTTTGAGTTTTTCAGTAGAAAATACTCAATTTGGAGTTCTTAAAAAGTGGTCCAGAACTTTTCGATTTTTTAAACAAAAATAGAGCTTCAATTTTTTAGTTGACAATTTTTTGATATCTTTTACAGAAATCGAGATACAGTATCTTTTTCCAGGTTGGCAATGTTTTTGCACCATGCCCACGTGCTGAAGAGCTCACCAAGGAAATATATTCTGGAAATGGATTCCAGAAGTTTGTGGCTGAAAATCAGGAATTCCTGGATTTTGTTTCTGAAAAGACTGGAAAGAAAATTATCATGCCAGAAATTTATATGATAAACGATGTGCATTATATTGAGGTACAGGAATTCCAGAATTTCTGAAAAATTCTGAAATTCTGAAATTTCCAGAAGCTCTACAACATGTCCCAACCCGACTGGATTACTGATGACGTGGAAATTAAGCTTCGGAATCTTTCTCAAGTGTCGACAAGATTCCTTTTCGGAATCGGCGATCCATATGTTCCAGAATTGATTCGTTTGAGAGGAGGTAAGACACAAACTACGAAGACTACAAACTACAAAAACTTCCAGGACCTCTTCTTTCCACTATGATCGACAAAATGAACCATAAATTGAGCTGCGCCGAGAAAAACAACCAGGGAGAGGATTGTGCATGGATTGGAAAGCTCAAATATCATGCTTACAGTGCGGTAGGTCAACTTTGACCCAATTTGTCTCGGTTCCTATGAGAGATATCAATAAGTGATAAACTGATAAATTGTTTATCATGATATCAATAACATTTTATCAGTTGACAACTTTTTGATATCTCATACAGGAGCCGAGATACAGTGCCCAACAAAAACTATATCATATTTGGATTACTCAGTGGAAAATAGTCAATTTAGACTTCCTGAAAAAAGTGGTCCGGACTTTTTCAATTTCTCTGAAAATCTCAGATTATATTAAACAAAATAAAAACTTTAACTTTGTAGGTAACAACTTTTTGTGCAGATCCAACGAAATGAAATAAGGACCAAAAAAATTTCAGACCCGAAAAACCGTACCCGTCATCTTTGAGCCTATACATCTCATTTCCTGTAAGAGATATCAAAAAGCAATCAACTGATAAAATGTTTATCATAATATCAGAAATATTTTATTAATTGATTACTATTTGATATCTTAAACAAAAACCAAGATACCGTACCCAACAAATTTATTTCATTTTTTTGACTTTTCCCGTGGGAAATAGCGAATTTTGAAGTCCCGAAAAATGGTCCAAAATTTTTCAATTTGTCTGAGAATTTCAGAGTATATTGAGCACAAATAGAGCTTCAATTTTGTAGTCGGCCGCTTTTCTGTACATATCCTACAAATTGTGATAAGGACTATAATATTCTAGAGGGCAAAATAATCACAAAGACAGATGAGTAACCAAATTTGATCGAGTTTATCTCGTCTCCTGTGAGAGATACCAAAAGATCATAAATTGATAAAATGTTTATCATAGTATCAAAAACATTTTATCCGTTGACAACTTTCTGATATCTTAAACAAAAACCAATTTTGGGGACAAAAAATTTTAGACACCGGAAAAAACCGTATCCCCTCAACACTGAACCAACTTATCTTGGTTTCTGTGAGGAATATCATGAAGTGATAAAATGATAAAATGTTTATTATAATATCAGTGACATTTTATCAGTTGATAACTTGCTGATATCTTTTACAAGAACCGAGATACAGTATCCAACAAAAACTATATCACATTTTCGCACTATCTGTGAAAATATGTAGTCAATTTTAAAGTCCCGAAAAAATGATGCGAAATTGTTAGATTTTTCTGAAAATTCCAAAGTATACTAAACAAAATTAGAGTTTCATTTTCCAGCACGACACAACAGTTTACGCATTTTTGACGACTTTTGGAGATGAGGAGAAAGTGATTGAGGGAGGAATGCCCCATTATACGGCATCGGTTGCTGTGGAGCTTTGGAATCTGAAAAATGGAGGACCGAGTGTCAGAGTAAGAACTTTATACAGTAATCGTTCATCTACATTAACCCAATTATAGGTTTTGTTCCATAGTGCCTTCCATCACAACTACCACGTCATCACTCATTTGGCCAAGGGATGCCCACATAATTCGGAATTTTGTTCTCTGAAGGTTCGATTTTAGGAATTTCGGAATTTTAAAACATTTGAGTCACGAAATTTCTGAAAAATCAATTTTTTAAAATCTGGAAATACAGAAAATACTGAAAATGTTCAATTTGTTTTTTTTTGCAGACTTTCGAACAACGCAGTCTGAAATTCCTCCCAGTCAACCTTGAGAAAGAATGTGCTTCCCGAAAATCGGCTGAAAAAAATCGAACTCTCTGGAAATTCAAAGGAACTAAGCATAATTAAAAATGAGCATTATTTTATTTGTGATTGAATGAATTTTTTAATTTGAAATTTTTTTTTGAGTTTCAGATTTTCAGAACTCCATGATTTCATTTATTGCTGCCAATTTTCAGAACTCGAAAAGTTCAGAATATTAGAGTTTCGGAATCTCAGAATTTCTGAATTTCTGAATTTCTGAATTTCTGAATTCCTGAATTTCTGAATTTCTGAATTTCTGAATTTCTGAATTTCTGAATTTCTGAATTTCAGTGTTTCGGAATTTCTGAATTTCTGAATTTCTGAATTCCTGAATTTCTGTATTTCTAAATTTCTGATTTTCCGAATTTCTGAATTTCTGAATTTCTGAATTTCTGAATTTCAGTGTTTCGGAATTTCTGAATTTCTGAATTTCTGAATTCCTGAATTTCTGTATTTCTAAATTTCTGATTTTCCGAATTTCTGAATTCTGAATTTCTGAATTTTTGAATTTCTGAATTTCTGAATTTCAGTGTTTCGGAATTTCTGAATTTCTGAATTCCTGAATTTCTGTATTTCTAATATTCTGTATTTCTAAATTTCTGAATTTCCGAATTTCCGAATTCAGAATTTCTGAATTTCTGAATTTCTGAATTTCTGAATTTCTGAATTTCTGAATTCCTGAATTTCTGAATTTCTGAATTTCTGAATTTCTGAATTTCTGAATTTCTGAATTTCTGAATTCATAAATTCTTGAATTTCTGAATTCCTGAATTTCAGTGTTTCGGAATTTCTGAATTCCAAAGATTTTTGATTTTCAATTTTCAGATTTTTGGGTCCAGAAACATAATTTTCCCACTCCCAGTGTTTGCAAAAAATGTACAAACGTGAGATTCTGAAAGTAGATTCTGAAGAAAATGTTGTTTTCTGGGTCATGTGATTCTATTTTTCACATGATTTCATGCTTTTTTTTGTTCGAAATCTGAAGTTCCAGTATAGAGAGTCTTTTTGAGAACCTTCTCCAATTCGCCGTTTTCTAGGGTCCATTCCAAAATGAATCACATCATTTTTAGCCTAAATCTCTGTGTTTTGAAATTTTGATCTAAAAATTCCAGTCTAGTTTGTTTCGAAAGTTTCGGATTCAAAAAAAAAGAAACCCTATTTTTTCTGATTTTCTGATGTTTTTTGACATCATTTTGAAACCCTGAAAATGTGCTTCCTATATAAATAGACGATTTTCAAGTTCCCCCAGAAGACGTCAGACCTTTTTTTCTGAAATTTTCATTATGGGAATATTTTTTTCCCAGATTTCCAGACTGAGCCCCACAAATTAAAAATTTGGGAAAATTGGTTTTTTGAAAAAAATTTTTAAAAAACGAATTTTTGGATCAAAACAAAGTTTTCAAGATCTTTTTCCACTTCCCTCAATTTCAGATTTTTTGAAAAAAAAAATTATTTTTTAATTTTTTGGTCAAAAGTCAAAAAAATAAAAATTTCAGAATTTTTTACAAATAGATGTGTGACTAGAAATTCGAGATCCCACTTATATATTTCTATTTTGAAAAAGGTCGGGTTCGAATTTCGACAATTTCAAAGTTTAACAATTTTAGAAATTCATGAAAAAAATTTTTTTTTCAAAAAATCAAAATTCGTCATTATCAAAATATTTGAAATTCCTAGAAAAGAGTTTTGGCCTTTTTTAATTGTCAGAAAATCAGAAAATTCAAAAAATCAAAATTCGTCATTTTTGAGATTTTTGAGAATTTTCAATTGTTTCCAAAAAAAAGTTCCATTATTCTTTTTTTTCTTGAACTATTAGTAGAAAAAAAGAACAGGAAGTTATTATTTTTAATGCTTTTTTTGTTTTTTTTTTTGGTTTTTTGAAAAACTTTTTTTTCAAAAATTTCAAAATTCCGACAATTCGAGGAAACAATTTTTCAGATCCTTTTGAAAATAGAAACTGGAAATTCTCTTAAGATTCAAAATTTCGATGAAAATCAAAAAAAAAATTAATGTTTGAAAAATTCAAAATATAGAAAAATCCGAAAAACCATAAAAACTAAAAAACCAAATCAGAAAGTCCCCTTCTATTAATTTTCCATCTCTTTTTGATTTTTTTTTCGAAATCATCTTTTTTGGACCTACGTCATTTTTAATAGCCTTCTTTCTTGCAGGAAAAAAGATTGGGTCAATTTAAAATTTTTGCAGATTTTTTTATATAAAAATGAACACCATGGACTATTTTGGATAGATTTTTCCGATTACAAAAAATCACTTTTTTTGATTTTTAAATTTTTTTTCGAAAGACAAATTTTTTGGATTCCATAATTCCTACTTGCACTGTTTTTGGATTAGTCATTCCTCTTTTTTTTGTTCCAGAATGTCCAAAAATCTATCGGAAGTTTCCAAAAAAGAGTGTCGTCCTATTTTTTCCGCTCCGCTTCCTCATTTTTTCATATTTTGTATCTTTTTGGGGACCATTATTCATAGATATTTACAAAAAAAATCTTTGGGATTCAGAATTCAGAATTTTGAATTTTGAAATTCTAAATTCAAACTAGAAAGATTTGTTTCTAAAAAATTCTGAAATTCCAGATCTCTGTTCATTTTTCATAGTTCCTGTCAAGTTCATAAAGTCCATAAACTTTCAAAAATAATTTTTTCAGACATGTCATTTTCAGAATAGTTGGAATGAATTGAGAAAAATAAATTAATAGATGTATTCCAATTCTTTATTTCATGTTTTATTCAATTTTATCCCAAAAACAGGAAATTAGAAATTCCAGATATCCGGTCACTCAAAAATTTGGGAAAAGTCAAAACACATTTTTCTAGATACCCGGAAAAATTAAAGGCTTCAAATTTGGGGAAAATTCTGGGAGGTGTGTCTTTTTTGTGCTTTTTGAGTCATTGATAACGAAGGATCTTTGGATTTTAGCAAAAAAAAATAATTTGGAGAGCATTCAATAATTTTTGTGCTCATTTGTACTGGATATGGCTTCTTTTTGTACCGATAAATGGCAGAAAAATGAGTTTTAGACTTTTTTGTGGTCCAGACATTTAGAAATTCAGAAGTTCAGAAATTCAGAAATTCAGAAATTCAGAAATTCAGAAATTCAGAAACTTTGAAATTCAGAAATTCAGAAATTCAGAAATTCAGAAATGCAGAAGTTCGGAAATTCAGAAATTCAGAAATTCAGAAATTCAGAAATTCAGAAATTCAGAAATTCAGAAATTCAGAAACTTTGAAATTCAGAAATTCAGAAATTCAGAAATTCAGAAATGCAGAAATTCGGAAATTCAGAAATGCAGAAATTCGGAAATTCAGAAATTCAGAAATTCAGAAATTCAAAAATTCAGAAATTCAGAAATTCAGAAAGTCTGGAATTCAGAAATTAAGAAATTCAGGAATTTAGAAATTCAGAAATTCAGAAATTCAGGAATTTAGAAATTCAGAAATTCAGGAATTTATGAATTCAGAAATTCAGAAATTCAGAAATTCAGAAATTCAGAAATTTGGAAATTCAGAAATTCAGAAATTCAGGAATTTATGAATTCAGAAATTCAGAAATGCAGAAATTCAGAAATTCAGAAATTCAAAAATTCAGCAATCCAGAAAGTCTGGAATTCAGAAATTCAGAAATTCATAAATTCAGAAATTCAGAAATTCAGAAACTCATCAATTCAGAAATTCAGAAATTCAGAAATGCAGAAATTCAGAAATTCAGAAATTCAGAAATTCAGAAATTCAGAAATTCAGAAATTCAGAAATTCGAAAATTCAGCAATTCAGAAAGTCTGGAATTCAGAAATTAAGAAATTCAGAAATTCAGAAATTAAGAAATTCAGAAATTCAGAAATTCAGAAATTCAGAAATTCAGAAATTCAGAAATTCAAAAATTCAGAAATTCAGAAATTTAGAAATTCAGAAATTCAGAAATTCAGAAATTCAGGAATTCAGAAATTCAGAAATGCAGAAATTCAGAAATTTAGAATCTGAAAACTTTAAAAGTTGAAAAAAATTCAGAATCTTAGGTTTTAAAAATTTGAAGTTTGCCTTTCCGATTTACAGGTGTTCAGATTTCCAAATTTCAGATTTTCAGACCTCCAAACTCCAAGATGTCTGAAATTCTCGATTTCTGAGTTTCTAGACTGCTAAATTTTCGACTTTCTATTGAAAATTCAAAATCTAGAAATCTAGAAAATTAAAATTTTTGAATGAAAAAAGAAATTTTTTCATAAAAAATAGAAAAACAACTAGGTCAATCTTTTATTTTTATTTTGATGACGTGACCAAAATTGACCAATCCAAAGCACTTTAAACGATAAGGACACTTTTGGGAATTTTCTTCTTTTTTGGAATTTTGGAATTTTTGGTTTTTTTTTCTTTTCCCACATACATGGATGTTTTGCTTACTCATTTTTCTTTTTTTTTTAGTTTTTTTTTCAAGTTTCCTGATTAAAAATTCAAAGAAGGAAAGGAAAGATTTCTGATATCTTCCTGAAGTTTCAAGATTCTTGAAAAAATGTAAAAATGTACACATCGTTTTTTTTTTTCAAAAATCGATTTTTTTAATGTGAGAAAAAATCTGGGAATGCTGGAATTCTGAATTTTCAGAATTCCAGCATTTTCAGATTTATCTAACTTTAGATTTGGAGTTGTAGAATCCCAAAAACATCTTCTATGTTTTTTTAATTCCCAAAATGACGTTTTTGTCTATTTCGTATAATCCTGAAACTAGAAAATCCTGGAATTAAGAATTTAAAGATATTCAAGTGGGCGTCTGAAAGAATGATTTGTAGGTCAAAATAAAAAAAAATGACCTGGATGAAATTAAAAATTCAAAAAGGACGTGTCTGGAAGCATCCCAGACACCTTACCTTTAGACCGAAGAATTGTTGATAGAAGTGACGAACTTTTGAAAAAAATATTTTGGAAATTCTGAATTTGTGAGAATTTACTAAATTTATAGATTTCATAGAAATAAGTTTTTAGGATCCTCGATCCTAGACTTTCAGACATTCAGGTTTTCATATTTTCAGACTCTG